GTCGCACAGCCCACCCAAGTCAACATGAAAATATCAAAACGATTTTTAAATCCAAGCCTAGCCACCACAAACCTATTATTTAAAGGGCACATCAAACTCAAAATCTAGGCCAGGAAAGGGGGAAATTCTCGGAAAAGCAAGGGGAAATCCGGTAGGACGCTCGAGAACCGGAACAAAAGATTTTCTCGTCGGCTCATGCATTATTTTATTCGAAATCAGAACAAGTGTGAGGCCTGCGACTTCTCGGAAGAGACGAGGAAAGATTTAATCGGGCCTGTTCGGAGCCTCTCCGTCCGGTCGATCGAAGAAATTCTTGAACTTGAACGCGCTGGCTCGATTGGAGCTTCGACTCGAGAGACATCTACCGAACGCCAGCTCAACCATTACGCAATTAGGACCATTCCGCTGAAAATGAATCGATTCGCGGGGGCGAGTGAATTCATTGTAGCACGGCAGCCTGGCCACAAGGTTATTTCGGGCGAGGATTGAAAAATTTTATCGTTTGGATTCGAAATCCCGTTTGGAAATGCCTTGGTTGCGGTTGCCCGATTTAAAACTTTTCACACAGCTGATTCAACAATAAACCTCGGTCTCCGCTTATCGGCGTTGCTTTCTGACTGCAATCCCAGACAAAAATGGATGAAAACGATGCACACAATTGAAAACAACAATTTAGGAAACAAATTTCGACTACCAAATCCGAATTTGTACCACGACATCCCAAGTCGCTTTTGTTTACGATCCTCATGAGGATCCTATCACTACCAAGAAACGTCAGATGAGAAACATACCACAATTTAATGACGGTTGTGACGACTGCATTGTCCAGGAAGGTCTTTGGCCTTGATTCTCGGTAGTAGGGAAGAATCAGAGCTGAAAGAATCGAGGTAATCCCGGAATTCCACCATTCACAGCTGTACGGCCTACCTGACAGAGGACATGATCACCCTGGACAGAGCCATGACGCCGTCAGTGTTGCCAAAAAAATTTTTCATCTCGGGTTTCGTTCTCATATAATACAGGGTAACTGAAAACAATAAATATATAAATGTGCATAAATATTAGGTTTGTGGTGGCTAGGCTTGGATTTAAAAATCGTTTTGATATTTTCATGTTGACTTGGGTGGGCTGTGCGACGCGGTCGAGGTGAATCATGAACGTCACATGATGCTAAACAGACACGCAATATATCGAAGATGGCGGTGAACGTAGCACACGCTGGTGCGGGCGTTCTGGTCCACTCCGGTGAATAGTGAGTTCTTTGGGCCTGTTCTCCACTTCTTTTACGTGAAGGTTGGGGAGGGGTCAGCGATCGAGGCGGTTTTCTTCCCCCTACACCCCTTTTATTGCTTCTTGAAAGTTTTTGTCTTTCCCAGATTCGGTAGAGATCATTAAGAAGAAAGTCGTAGCCAAGCCACTTAATATGCTAAGGCCTAATGAAAACTTGACGTGCTCCTTGGATGTCTTCGTATATGTTCGTTATGTAGGTTTGTGGAATGAAGCAAAACGAAGCCGTGAACCAGTTGACTTGCATCCGGCTGAATCAAGTTTCAATCGTTTTCGCTGAAATTTTAATGAAACGACGAAAAGTTTACTAAGTTTACGTCTCACCATTTTGGGATCGAATTTTACCGTATTCCCATGGCTTTTTGAGGTTGCCGACACCACTACTTCCAGAGGGTCATTGGATGACTCCGTGACTGGATTATGATGTCACTATCTTGACTCATGGAATTACTAATGCAGAATATGTTTCCTCTTGCAATTGATGGAAGAGCTCAAATTGGGGTTACATACTCAATCCTATAATAGTTTGAATGCTTACGTTCATTCCCTCACTTCATGGCAGCCACTTTTTAGTTTTACAGGTTTATGTAATTGTATACATTGCATAAACTGCACCTTGGTTCTGTAGCTCAATGTGAGTTGAGGTCCCCTCTGTTGCTCTGTCCTTAACTGTGATGACATTTTCAAAAGTATCTACGAAGAAATACTCATTTTCAGCTCATATAGATGAAAATTTGGAATGGAAGTTGCAATCTAGCTTTAATATTCATGATTGATGTTTATAGTTCATTGTCCATTGCAACATTCCCACTTTTGTATAATGATACCTATCCTACAAAATCCTAATGCTTAATTATATTGACTTTAAGGGAGATGTTTTTATTTGTTTCAAATTGTTTTTTTGGTCTGCTGCTACTGCTGTGTAAATTCCAAGAATTTACATGTATGTAAACCATTGGATTTGATGTCTGAAATTCTGAACCCCCATCCTTTACTTAAGTCTTGCATATTCTACTGGATAGACTTATGTAATCTAATAAATGTACTTCTTTTCTGTTACAGCATCATTTTGTTTGGCGACAACATTACCTTGGAAGTCAGCGGAAATGTTGGACTAGCGCAATTTCAAGGAAAGAAGAATGGTCTGCTCTATCTCACAACGCATCGAATGATCTTCATCAACAAGAAACAAGATGATGCCTTGAAATCCTTCTCATTCCCCTTCCAATCTCTGAGAAATGTTAGCCTGACAGTTGGATTTTTCCAACCTTTTTGTGCTATTTAAAGGCATAAATCTTTAACCTACTTAGCTATTGAAGTTCCTATTAACAGCTGAGATATAGATCCAGGGATTCCTTGAGAAATTGTTGATCAAAACAAGAATTTAAGCTAAACAAAATTATTTATTCGTGGAATAGATTATTTCATTTTGTTTTTATGGAGGCATTTTATTGCTTGAAGGTGGAATTGGAGCAACCAATGTTTGGAGCCAATTATTTCCATGGGGATGTCCTGGCTCAGCCTGGAGCATCATGGAATGGAGATGCTAAATTCAAAGTCACATTCAAGTCAGGAGGCTGTATTGACTTTGGGAGAGCCATGCTTCGTGCTGCAAAAATGGGTGAGTGGGCTACTTTTAGGCTTAATATGGGCTTGGCAATGAAGAGTTAGGAATTTAGAACTGTCTTGCAGCTAGTGTTTTTCAAGGTTTTTGAAAGTGTTGAACTGAGATTTATTCCTATTTGAAGTTTGCCCTTTTATAATTGAAGTTGTTTTTCCCCCCCTTTGTTCTTAATTGAGAAATTGTATTTGCTTTCAATGACTGAAATATGCTTGATTAGGATACAGGCCTCATGGAACTCTTGCCCTTAATTATGAGCTACTCATTTTTATAATGTATACATAAGTAATATATCCTTGTAATGATCATATTTCACATTATTTCTTTATTTCTGGTTGACTTAATATTTTTCCTACTTTGGGGATTGCTCACTCAAGGAATTATGGAAGGTCACTTGAAGCACAAAGAGGGGTAGTTGTATGAATCAGCATTTTAACTAGGTTGGATCTTGAGTCTTTAACTTACTCTTTGAGAGTGGTTACTTCTGCATATAAGAAATTCTTGGCTCAAGCTGGACATGGCATGCTGCTGTACATGTGGGTACTGTCTACATAGGACTAAAACACTTCTTTCCTTTTCAGTGAGAGACCAATTTGGGGACATGCCACCTCCATATTACTCTCCTGGTGATTATGTTCCTGCTCCAGCCACCTACTATGCTCCTCCAGTATGGATGCAGGAACCTGGCTGGCAACAGACATTTGGCACTTCCTATGGCTTTCGTCCTCCACGTATGTTTATACCTTTATTTACTAATGGAAAGAGTCACATTTGAGGAATGTAAGCCAGTTGCTACCTGATTATAATGTTTGGGCAGTCACTTTGAAAAATTGGTATTTATGTAGTGCACGTCTTGAGGACATAGGAGGAACAACAAAACATTATATGGATTGGAGCATGTGTTGCACAACTGTGTGATGTTTCACATATATGTATTAGAAGAGAATAATGTAAACCCCTAATGGATATCACTGCAAATGTTTCTTAAGTCTTCAGTAATTAGCAAAATAAATTATTTTTTAAACATAACCAAGATGAGTCTTTAAAAAGTCCCTATAAATTACTTTTACGAGGTATATGTCAAGCAAAATCTATGGGCATTCAGTTTTAAAAGCACAACAAAACTCAAGTGAATTTGTATATGCAAAATGGTGCAATAAATTTGGCCACTATTATAGTGGTTTGATGCAATCTATGTGAATGCTTGATGAATAGCTTGACCATACTTGTAAATCCATGATTGCAGAAGATTCAGTCTACACAATGGATTGTCCTCCTCCATATCCTGGACTTGGATCTGATGCACAGCCTTCTGCTCCTCCATTACCCAAAGGTAAGTCGAGTCTGTTCTTATGGAAATTCAACAGAGTAAATTGAGTTTCTTACATATTTGGCAAAAGGGCATGATGGTATCTTATTCATATTAAGGAAAGATAGAAAAAAATTCCCCAGCAGGTTAACAGAACAGGGATTTAAATTCCCCAGGCCACCTGTGTGGGATGGTTGGTGGAAAGGAATGATATCCATCCACTCCACTCTTTGCTGCTCAACAAGAGTCTCTAAATTTCAGTTTTGTTTTTAAGTCTGACTTCTGGTTCTGGTTGCAAAAAAGTTAATGGACTTTGTGAGTTGTGCTAAAAATTTGAAAAGATGAAAAGATTGTAGCACTGGTATAAACTTCAACACAGATTTTCCATTGACACATGGATACTTTTGGATGATTTCATAAGAAACCTTTTTTTTCATCATAGAATGGTGGCTCATTTTTACTTGTACTAAGGCCCCCAAAGCACGTCTCAAAACCATATCTCATGGAATGTTTCTTCTAGGAGGTAAAGAGGCAGAAGCTGAAGCTTCATCAGTTGCTACTGCTAATGGTTACCAAACACAATATCATCCTCCTCCCCCCATATATGTAAGTTTGGATCATAGCTTCTCTTATTTATCTGTTGGAAACAAATTGCTATGATTCATGATTTACCTCCTCTTCCAGAATGAGAACCCCCCCAGCTACCAAGAAGCTACTAAGAAGAAAGACCAGTGAATGTGTCATTCCCAAGCCTGATTCTCTATCTTCAATCTTTCATTCCAATATTTTCCCCTTTTTGTCCCTCTGTTTCATGATTTTTGAATGAGTTCATTCATGTGAAAATTCCGTTTTTCCCCTGCATGCACTCCACATATATACACAAGGTTGGTGTGAGCTTTGAATATCATGAGATTTTCCATGCCACTAGTGGATAATGAAAAAAATTATAGCTTTCATTGCCATTGCATGTAATGTTTGCCATATGTTTTGAAGTGGCTGGCAATTGTGATGAGATGGTCCTTGAAATGTTGGCTGCAAGATGCGCAAGGAGGTGGATGTGGTGGAATCTTGAAATTGTTTTTTTGCTATTGCAATGTGAAGTAATTATTGTTACTGAAATGTGATAGGTTTGGATTCTTTTATCTGAAAGAAGCTGTATTCCTGAATAAATTTATGTATCCCAATTTCCATGACTGTGTTTACATATTCTCTGTATTGAATCTTTGACATGGGCCATGGCATAGGGCCTGTACTGCCAACAGAAGGCATACTTATTCACTGTAAATGGAAGCACTAATATCATGTGATGACTCTGCCTGCTATGCATAAGAGTGCCATGTAAGACCATCTCGTTAGAGGTGAGATCTGAGCAGGTGTTTTATTAGACAAAATCATGAGCTGATGTAGCGGATGAAAACCTGGTACCTTTTGCCTTTGGAGTTATAGAATTTTTCCTCAATGTTGGAAATGTTGATATTTTTCATCAGACATCATCAGAGCTTGTATTAATGTTGACATTTGATGGCATATGAACTGAGAAGACCAATCTTGGAGTGACTGATCCATAGGAAGTAATTTTGTATTAAAGTTTTTTTAATCAGGTAATACAGAATGAGAACGATGTCTATGAAAGGATCTCCTAGGGGAAGCCAGCATGGCTGATGATTCTCTACCAATATTTCAGGCAAGCTTCTGCATAGGTTTCATCAATAAATTTGTCCTGATGCTGCATGGATACTGACAGTGCTGTTCTTCCAGGAGTCTGATGAGCAAGAGAAGACCCCCAAAGGTGGAGGAGGAGGGGACAAGTCCAGACTCATGACTGAGCTGTTTGGTGGCAAGGATGACTCCACACCCCTCCTATCCAACCTGTCCACTCTAGGATCCCTTGGGGCCTCACGTGGAAGGGAGAAGGTCACAAGAAAGGCATCTGAACCACCTGCAAGGCGACAGATCAGTGGAGGAGGTGACTGGATGGGGCTTGGGATTTTAAAGCCCAAGCAAGGAGATGATTGGCTGTTGGGGGAAGCTAAGTCCAAGAAGTCACAAAGATCTGAAACCCCAGAAGTGCCTGACAGTAGAACTGAAACTTCCAGACAAGAAAGGATTCCAAAGGAAGATCCACCTTTGCCTTTCTTGAAGACACCTGAACAAGCAATCAATAAAGAAGAAAGTATGAAAGCAGCAGATGTGCTGAACATATCAAAGAAGGGTGAAGAGCTTATGGAGTCACTTTCACAAGACTCTCGAGCTTTGAAAGAAGAGATCAAGTTCCAGTTTCAGTTCTTTAAAGAGGAGATTGAGCTCTTGAAGAAGATGTCAGTTGAAGAGAGGCAAGAAGGATTCAAAGTAAGTTTGAGTTGCATACTAGGATTGGTATCTTTCCTTTTTTTTTTATCTGAAGCACCAAAGTATAATTATTATTTTTTTAATTTTTAAATAGACTGCTTAAAAAACTTAAGGTTGTCAGATGTAAAAAATAAAAATGTGAGATCTTGGCAAAGTAAAAGGCTGTTGTTAGATCTTAGGCAAAGGGATGAGTTGAATCCTTATTGGTATTCTCAAAGATAAATGTCTAATAAAATGTACAGTGGCCTCATCTCAATCCTGAGCTCAAATCAAGGTTTCCCCATTGACATCTAATGCAGAAAGAGCGAGAGTCTCTGGAAGAAATGCACAAGCAGGAGAAGGAGATGTGGAAAGGGAATTGGAAAAGCCAATTGGATGCACTAGAGGAATCTCTACGGAGAAGGGAGCAGCAGCTCCAGCGAGAGAGGGAGTGGTCTGAACAGGAACTCCAGTGGAGGAAGCAGGAATTCCAATCCGAGAAGGAAGACCTCATCGAGAGATACGAAGGACAGATTCGAGCCCTGAGGGAAGAGCATAGGGTGAATTTGGAGCATCTGAAGCAAATGCACGAAGAGACCCTTGAGTCCATCAAGAGCGACCAGCGTCTCACATATCAGCATCTCAAAGAACTCAAGGATGAAGAAATTTCTGCCTTGCAAAGCATGCATTCCTCAAATCCAAACACACAGGCCAAGTGCGAATGATTGCAACAACACAATTGTCTCAAGGTGTAGTTGGTGAAATCAGATTTTTCCTGTCATCTAGGATGCTGGAAAGGATGATGAAGCGAATGGAGGACCATTTTCAACAAGTGGGGATAAAGTTGGAATCAGTGGTTGTGAAGGAACTGGCAGGTTGGAGACTGTTGAATGCTCCTCAGGAATGCTCAGAGCAATATTACATGTACTGGTATGTAAGTACTAACTTGTGATTCTGAATTTTGTAGAAGTTCAAGGAAGCTTAAAGGAAGAGACAAGGCGCATGGAGAAGCTGCATTTGGAATTGGATCAGAAGAAAAAAGAAGTCTTGGAGGCTGAAAAACAGCTCCATGCAGAGAGAGAAGCTTCGCAGGTAGATTTTCCTCTTTTATTTGCCAAAGGGAGTTTTATATATGATATTAATGTGGTGATTCATGTACCATCCTCTTCACATCTTAGCAAGAGAGACAGAAGACATCCAGAGGACCTGTGCAGAAAGAAATAGAAGCTTACATATTGAAAGAAGAGCGATCTCCATTGTCTCTTTTTGCTCAGGTATAGCACTATTTGTGGCAGCTTTTTCAAGAAAGGACATTGCAAAAGTCAGTCTCCTTGTTCTGAAGGTTGAAACCAGGAGAGGAGGATCTGCAGATGCAAAAGAAGGAGAGAGGTTGAAGAAAGAGCATTCAGATCTGCAACACTATGCTCAGGACTTGCAAGAGAAGGCGCTTAAAGTTGATCTCTTGTACAAGGTATATGAACAGGAATCAATCCTCTCCTAATCATCTGGTTGGGTGATGGCACTAACCTGGTAAGATTTGTTATGTCATCGCAGAAGGCCAGTGAAATGCGAAGAGAAGCGGAGAGAATGATGCATCAGCAGCAGGAAGCCGAGAGGGGCCATTTGCTGCGGGAGGAAAAGCTGAAGCAAATGCTTGACCTCATCAGCACAAGAGAAAAGAAACTTGTTGAGGTATGATGATGTGAAACTGCTCAGAAACTTGCTCCATCTTATTCTTAAGCAAAACTACCTTGACATGTTCATCATTCCCCAGGAGAGTATAAAACTATCGAGGCAACTGGGCTCGATACAATCTGAGAAGAGGAGATATCTCTGTTTTCAGTGCAGAAATCCCATCAAGCGAATCAGCCTTGGGCCTGCTGATGGACATGAGGTGAGTATAGCTTCAACATCACAGTTCTGCAAATGAGGAATCGTGAAACTCAGGAGCACAACAAGGCTCCATTGCAAATCTACAATTTCTGCTTTTGCAGGAGTTGAGTTTGGGGAGAAAGCCCGACAGAGGAGTCCTGAATCCAGCACTGTCCCAGTTGAAAGCAGCAGCTGCAAGAGACAGGGAATACTTGGATGGTGAAACCAAATGGCTGCAAGGCGTTCATGAAAAACTGCTTCAGAGACAGTCAACTTCATTCTGACGTTAACATGGTCCTAGTCCTTGAATTTACACACTGTCAACTCTCACCACTCTGGGCCTTGGGCACTCTTGTCTAATTATTGAAATTGGTCCCACTGACAATATCCATAAATATACAAGCAAAACACATACTTGAAGGAAGGTGTTCTCTATTCACATGGGTGTAAGACATAATGGTCCTGGACATTTTTTTCCCAAATGAGAAATAAGAAAAGTTGTCCCTGCAGTATAAATGTGATTACAGCTCATCAAGAGTTAATGATAATTTAAATAATTGCATCATCTACTTGAGACAACCTTCTAAAATTAAGTTCTTCATTACCACGAAGGTTGAAAGCATTTGGGACTATGATTCAAGGATATATTTATTTCTACCTTCTATGTTAGAGCAGGTCCAAAGGTTTGGAAAGGAAATGAATAACCTAAAGGATTAACTTTCAGAAATTTGTTGAACATGAAGTGTTGTGATCTTCAATTTATCCCATGAAAATTTTGCACAAAATCACATGAGGGATGTTAACCTCTCACTGAAGTTAATGGAGATGCTCAATTTAATGTCATTTCAAACTCTTCTCCTAAGGAACCATGACTAGAATAGGGATGTCCAAATCCCAGTCTTATCTCGGTTCAGTCATCGTCTGGCTACGACGCAACGAGGACAATGGAAGACTACAGTTCAACTTCAACTGAATTACGACTGAACATGAAGATGAAATTGATCATGTACTCCCAACGATGGGAGGATATAGAAATTCATAGAGTAATAGGATAGCCTGAGCTAGACTGACAAGCAGAGGGGGAGGAGAGGATGAGTAGTGTGAGTGAAGTGGGAGGATGGATAGGTGGGGGGCAGTGGCTGCAAAGCCAGGGAACTTGGGAGGACAAGAAAAGGGACAAGGTAGGGTGGGGCAAATGAGAAGGGGATGAACCTTTATTACTACTCAAAAAATGATGATACAGTAGAAATAAACATCTCCTTGAACCATAGCCCCAATGCCCCAATTCAAGATAATAAAGGACTTAATTTTAGAAAGTAGTCATGAGTAATAATGTAATTATTTAAAATATCATTAACTCTTGATGAGCTGTCATCATACATTTATACTGCAAGGATCATTTTGTCCTATTTCTCATTTGGGACTAAAATGTCCAGAAACCATTTACATCAATGTGCTGCATTCTTCCTCTGTATCAGTATGAGGTAGCATTAGCATTTTGTCTACCCTCTGCAAGACTTTTCTTTCTTGTCACTTCACTCCACTGACTCCACGAAAAGGTGAGGTAGGAGTGGCAAGGGTTATTTATTTACTTATTTATTTGTTTATTGATCTCCAGGTGAGGAAGAGAGTGAAGATGAGAGAATAAGACCAGGAACACTTATGTTTTATTTCCTCTCAGAGAGGAAAAAATCTCCTTGTTTTCAATTGCTTTCTTTCTCCTTATCCGTGGAAATCCTGAGTCACTTGGTGAGAATGACTCTGGGACTGGAATATTTGCATTAATAAGAGCTTTGGATTAAGTGTTCAACCCTAACAGTTTTTACATGGGCTCTACTAGGTCCCTGCCAACACCATTGAATGTAAAGACCTTACCACATTATTATTTGGATAAATAGGAGTTATCTGCATATTGTATATACTGTACACATGACCATCTGGGGGACCATTGTGGCATATCTGAGTTATCGTGTATCTTAGTTAGATTCCCTTCCTGACACTTGAGGCAAAGCTGAGAGAGTGATGCTTCTGAGGATACTACAAACAAATCAATGAAACTTGACAATACGTGGATGGAAATACGAATACTTTTCAGAGTTGATGAGTGACTTGTAATTCATTTTTTAACACCTGATCTATGATTAAACAAGAGAGAATTTGGTCTTTTTGCTAGGTGGGTGGTGTGGGACAATCTCAAATCAGGAAAAACTGTTTAAAAATACAGGGTGCTTGGAAGAAAAGTACACCATTATATATTTATAAATTTCCCAACAACCAGGAGACCAAACTGTCAAAAAACTTGAATAAAAATAGTTCAAATAGTCATGAAACATGCCTTAAAATATTAGGCAGATCAGTTTGACTATGGATGGGTAGAGGGTGAGTTTGTGAATGTTAGTCACATTGGTTTCTTCTGGAAGCATTGCCTTCATTGATTTACATGCAGCCAAATTGGAATAGCTTTCACCATTGGTCATTACTCTTTACCAGCAACACTGTAAATGCTAACTTGTGATTTGTGGCACAACTGTGAATGCTGTGGACTAGGAAATTCATTTCCATTTTCTAAATATGCCTATTTGGAGTCATGTTGCCTGAAACTAATGGGTGGCTACAGGTCAAGTTTTGGCACAGATTCCTTCCTGCTGGCATGACAAGAACACCAGAATTTCTTCCTTTTCTTTTTCTTCTCATTTTCAACATTCCATTCGATTCCTGATATTGGAATGCATACTCCTTGTATGATTTCAAGAGATTGAAAAATTACAGATATACTTTGAACAAATTAACTTAACAAACACTCTCTTGTTGAGACAAAAATTAGATGCTTATGTCAATGGGAACTTGGGGCCAAATGAAATTATTTTGAAAATTTTGATTTTATTAATTTAACTGAAATTTATTAATTTTAGCCAACAGATATTCATAATGCATTCTCATGAGAAGTCCTTACTGACTCCTTGGATTCTGACCATAACTTTCTATGCTTTCCCCCAACATGTGTTTGTTCTCATTTGATTATGTGGAGAGTACAAAGGTATTATTTGTCTGTGATGAACTTTGCTTGCTGGAGCAATCAATATCAATAAAGCTTTCCAGTTTTTTTTGTATCTGTTATTTTCAGCTGGAGAGAAAATATAATTGCTCTGCTCTTGCTACAGATTCAATTTTATTGCGTAAATCAGGAATGCAAGTATCATATATCACAGAATAGAATGTCCCATTGTAGGTTAGTGGGACTGAACAAAACCAACAAGCTGACAAAGAATAATGCACTGACACCCTGCTAGAAGTATAATAAAATAATGAAACTGAAGAAATCTTGTGATTGGGTGAAAATACAAAAGTCTCAGTGATGTGGATGCTGTCATACCAGCACTTACTCAAGGTAAAACAGGATCTGAGATTTTGGAATCCAGATTGCAAGTGAAGCCAATGGTTAGAGCATATCGAACTCCACTCTCCACTCTTTCCACCCTGTGTGTATTCTCTGAGCCAGATGTGAAAATACTCACTCGACCTTCAAAAGGAATGACTGTGTTACGTACCTGTCAAAGAAAAGGAAAAATGTATAAATAAAAGAAAAGTACCCATGCGTGGTTCCACTGTGCGATTTACACCATCCTGGTCGATGTACATGAACCTTCCTCCAGTGAAGTCATCTCCATAGTTACTCAGGTACAATAATGATGTATAATGGAAGTCATCATAAACCTCCTGCAAAGAGAAATGACTGTGTCACTGCAACGTTCTATGTCTCTATTGGAATTTCTCAACCTACAAAAACCAGAAATGTAATTCACCTTGTCCACATGGACATGCCAGTACTCATCATTTGGATTCTCAGTTGGGTTTTTGTTTGTCATCTGAGAGAAAAATGTTGGATAAGTCAGGTGGAGACTCCAAGGTTTCAACCCAAACTGGGTCTCCACCAACTGCTGAACCTTCATCTTTATTAGCCTGGACAGGAAATGGAGACAACACACATATAAAGGCTGAACAGTTGTCCCTCTCTCTCTATTATTAGAACAATTTTGGTCACTGCACTCACTGATAAGTGGACAAGACCTTCTTTGTAAGAAGTTTCTTGGCCTCTGGAACTTTGTAAAAGTTGATGAATTGAGTTCCATTGGACAATGCACCTGAATGGAGATCTAAAATGGAAACTCCTCCTGCTCCTCCACCTAATGAAAGCGCTGTCTTGGCAAATTTCTGCAGAAATTCAGCTTCTGATTCAGTGACAGCAGAATCTGTCACCAGTCTGCAGCACCGCTTGGGAACACAATCTGGTCAGAGGAAAACCCCAATTTCTCAGTGATTTAGGATGTACTTCTAATTCAGATGTAACATTTCAGGATGTCATATTTGTTACAATTCAGGTTGTACAAGATTGCCTTATAAAAGGAAGCATTTTGCAACTTTGTTCTATCCCAAAAAATTTCCATCTCCCAAAAAGAAATACCCTACTTGCTTCCTTGATCTCTCAGCCCAGAAAGTTTCATCCTTTGCAGAAAAGTACATCCACAGAGCATGAAGGACATAGCAGCTTTTCTTCTTAATTTCAATGGCACTCTTAGACAAAAATCACTGAACTAACAAGGATTAATGCTGATCACTCAATACTGACAAGAAAAGTGAAACCCCTTCAAGCTCAATATCTGTTGGCTTCATGTAACTGTAGATACCATATTATATATTAGGTAGGAAAGTGGCTAATTATGAAACCGGATTACTTTTTGCATTGATGAAGTCGGTGATACACTTTTCTTTCAAGATGCTGACCTCACACAGCTCATGTGCAAACCTCATGCTCATCCTCCACAAAAAGAGATGGATGATTGTATCATACAGGAGAAGCAAGAGAGTGATAATAATATTTGTGAATAAATAGATTCCCAAGTTCTTTTCTGAACTTATAAGATGTAGAATGAATTCATGATGAGCCTGATGTAGGATTGGATGTGCATGGCAGGGAATTGGGATATATTAAATGGACAATGCCCTATAGACCTACCAGGAAACTTTTTCTGATCCTCATCATAGTCCTTGGAACAGGGAACATCCTGCTTCTTGGAGATGCTTTCCTTTCGGGATGCAAGGATCACCTCTTTTTTTGAGGACCCGAGGTAAACCACAAAAAGCAACCCAATAATTAGCACCACCCGGGAGAAGACTCTATTTCCAGTCAGCAAGCTTCGGCTGAAACAGCAACATGTGGTGGTGAAGAAGTTGATTATATGCCTAGGTGTAGACCTGTGAAGCCTGCAGATACAAAAAGTGTCGGCCTCATAGAGACCTGCTCTCACACTTCACGCCTGCTCTCTTCACCCTTCTCAGGTGACTCTTTGTCTTTGGACTTCTCACTTCCCTTTGCTGCCTTCACTTCCTTGGGTGTCTTTGCTTTCTTACTGGTAGCTCCTCCACCTCGTTCTCGGCGTCGCACCCCCTCTTCTTTGGCAGGCATTCTTGATAATTAGATGCAAAATCTCTCTCTTAGTATTAAGAATGAGAGAACAAACAGCATTTCCTCCTCAAGGTCAATAAGAATTCAAGTTCCCAAAAAATATGAGCTGAGGTTTTGCAATTTGAATTGCCTATCTTAGTATGTAGCATAATCAATGCTATTGCTAATTGCATAAGAGAGTTGGTGCTACAAGTACGCCATAATATAAGTGTTTTTTTGCTCAAGTTAGACTATTTTTCACTTGACTCAGACACTTGCATAAGAGGAACATCCTATGCACAGGTATTGAAGTCAAGAAAAATAGTCTTACCCAAGTGAAAAACACCATATATCAACTCCGCCTTTTATTGAACTGCTGAGTCTGTTGATTACACCATCCATCAGCAGGTAAAAGACTTGAGAGTATATATTTAGCCTCTCATGGGCCAAAGAGCCCAATTTAGCCTCTCAACAGCAAAATAGAAAGTTGAGAATGCACTCCAACCCAAATTGAGCATATACTCATAACCTTAGTGAAAAGCTCCTCAGTCAAAAGCCTATCATGATCCTTCAAGTAAGGTCAAAGTGAGTTCTATATCCACAGGATTTCCTATGTGAAAAGCATCTCAGTTTTGATCTCTGTTGCCAGCAGAGTCCCTATTTGTGACTTCCTGGTTCCAGCTCAAGTACAAAAATGCCTCATGCCTTTCATTCATTGCGGAGGGTTACTTTAAAGTGTTTAAATCTATCCTGATATATGTCCGACGCTCACTCAAGCCCCGAACTCTTGATTTTCATCTTTAAATTATTATACCTCAACTCTCACTCGCCAAAGATTATGCATCCTATAGCAGTACCTATGGCAGTCCTATTATGAGATTCCCAAAGTTATTCTCCATGGTTTTGTCCTTGTAGACTCGTATAACAAAGGTAACTTCGACTAACTTCGTAGTAGTGGATGTGACAGGTCCTCGGCATAGGCCAAAGCTTGAGAAAGGCGAATGACTTTGCAGCACGTGTTAAGAAGGAGCAGTCGATTTCAGGAACACAGATGCCGGTTGTATGGCCTCTAACATCGTATTCTTCAGCTCATATTTTGTCACGTAGTAGTTACTAATCCATTATAGCGAATGAAAAAATTGTAAATGGCTTTGTTTTATGGATGATGTCGATTAAGTAGAGCCCTTTTGTTGCAGAAGAATGGTGTTTCGGGAAAGGGATACGAACCAGCGTGACACAGATTTTTGCCAGCGTGGTGTGGAGCTGGAATACAAGGTGGCGTGTCGTCAAGGGGATCGGAGCCATTGCCTGAGTCTCCGATTTTTTCGGCTTTTGCTCGTGGCCGAAAGCGGGTTCTCAGTGACCTGCGGTCATAGTGGCTGATGCTGGGAATTCGCATCGACTCATGGCGTTGCACCAACGACATACGATTCCCGATGTCTCCATATGGCATTTTCCCGTGAGTTGCCCCAGCCAGTTTACTATGACTAAATGTTGACTTGAAGCAGTTGCTTGCTAATATTCATTGGGATCAAAATGCCATATAAATAATGTGAACTGCATTATTTGAGGATGTATTGAAGAAATGCAGATTTTCGGTTGAATGGGTTTAACCCCCCCAGTATATTTTTATGTCGTTGTTAAAGGGAGGATACTTTCAAGGCATCCTGAACAATCAGGTTCAAACTATTTACAATCCTTCGAAGGAAAATAAACTACTCTTTGAGCATTTGTATTTGGTTCAACAATCCTATGAGACTCCCATGCATACTGAAACCCTTATCAAATGGAAAGAGGGACTCAGATTCTGTTT